CAAATAGTAACAGTAATTATGACATTTTGTTCTCAAATATGCTAATATTACAAAACCTGGAAATTTGGAACAAACAAATGACCATAGCTATATTTTGGATACAGCAATAGTATAAGCTGTGTCCTGTCAGTAAAAATAAACTTTCTTGTTGGACTTCAGTGTCCAATTCAGAGGCATGTTCGGACACTCCAAGGAAGCAAATTTTATGCAGTAGCGTATAACATTAGATCTTTTTATCACTGACACTTTCAAAGTTACTTGTCCCAAAATTTAGTTGGATAAAAAGCTTGTTTCCCAATAACTTGTTTCTTAACTTCATGTTGCATCTGCTACATACATACAAGTGAACAATAATCAAGTATTCAGTTATTATCAGCTAGAATTAGTCAGACACTTTCAGGATTACTTCATGTAAGATAAGACATCTTGTACACAAAAAACATTCTAGGATCAGATTCAGATATGCATAAAATCATACCATCAGGCATATGCTCAATACCATAAAAGTTTCTCAATGGGACCATCAAAGCACACTTATAATTTAGACCTTCAGTCACTCATCTCATTACTACACCCAGAAGTAATCAGTCTGAGTAATTTTCAGTGCCGACTTGCCCACTACTCCCATTACATCATGTATCTTCCCCAGACCACAAACATGTAGGTAGTTTCAGTTTCTTCACTGTTAACTGCAAATGAGCTTGCATGCTTCCATCTTGTCTACTTCACATTAGTTTAATATTTATTTGGTGCTCGAAGTCAGGAACGTATCAAGTTTCAGTGTTTAAAATACATACCTATTCAAAGCAACTATAAAATCAAGATTAAGGAAAACATAAAAAGATGTCCCTTATACAGATACCATCTGTTCAAGGCAGTTGACAAATGCACATATATAGACATAAAGTTACTTTTTCGAATGTCTGGCAAGCTGCTTCATGTTTTATAGTTACAGATTTTTTACGATACTAAAATCTGTTTTGCCATGACTATTTTCAGAAAGAAGGATTTTGATAACAGGATCTAACAATGGCCTGCTTCACACTGATTGTTCCAAAGCACAAGCTTGGATTCTTTGTAAAAATTTTCTCTTCTCTCAAAAATCTCTTAAATTCAGTGTTGATAACCTTACCTGCACCCAAACCCAAGAGCTATGAAAATAGAACATGACTGTTTAAAAAAAAAAAAAAAAACCCTGAAGGAATTTCAGTTAAGGCCATACTGTCTTTTCCATGGAAACACCATTTTAAGTATCCCTCATGATGGTTAACTGTTCTTTTCCACACGGTTGAAGAGTTTTATATTAACTCAGAGGACAGTACTGTAAGGGTTTTTTCTGAATGTAAATTTAAAAAAAAAATAGTAGTTAACTGGTTATTCACAATGAGTCTCTCTGATCTGTTTAAAGTACAAAATGTTTACATTTGTGATGCAACGGGTGGTGTGATAAATGTAAACATTTTTGTGACTTTAAGAAACAACATAATCACTCAGCCCTCATATCAAAGGATTAACTCCACTGTAACTAACTTGTTTGAATACATTTTTTACTTTATGATTTTTAGTTATTTCAGTTTCTCCTCCCTATCCAAAAACAAAGAATTATGTATTCAATGCCATGGAATAATTGAAAAATGCATCACAATGCACAAAGGGTTTATTTTATTCCTTCAATCCAGTACCATCAACCTAGATTTTTAGACCAGGGAAGCTGCCTCCTGACATTCAGAGGCACTAATCTACAGCATTTATCCTTACCAACTTTGCATGAGAAGAACCTGGAACTGTCCTCAATTATGGGTTGTCATGTCTCGGAACTGACAAGTTCAATTTTAAAGATAGATTTATAAAACTGGCCTATATGTGATGCATTTGAATATGTAAAACAGACCAAAACTCCTGGTGTTTTGAGGGTAGTGCTGGTGTCTTAAATCAAAAAAGGTTGATCCTGTAGCCATTGAAGATTCCTGAAAATCTTACGTTGGTGTGCCTGCAGCAGTCATTACAAAATGCTCCATCTTCATGGCTTTTGTTAGCAGTACAATTTTACAACTTTGATTAGAAGTCTTTCATGATGAATAGTATAAGCATGCTTACATAAACAGTACAGATAAAGACAGAAAATGACTACTTGTAATCTAAAATTGTGATATAAAAATACCTGAACAAAGTCAGTCTCGATTTTAGCTTCAGCTAGGACAAAATACAAGAAACTCAATCTGCATGAGGTTTTGAAGAAAACAAATGGATAACACAATAGCATAGCAGAAAAATACAGAATCTGCACCTTGATGTATATTAAAGGAACTGCAGCAAATGAGTTACAATTGTAGTGTTCATGGTAGTATACTCTGAAGTGAATGACACTTACAACTAAAGACCTTTAAAAAACTTCAGTTCAGGCACTGTCTAGAAATTCAATTCAGCTTACTGCTAAAATGTTTATAAAGAGGTATTAGATTTCAAATTCTTCCTCTATTTAAAAAAATAGTAATTTACATTGCTACCCAAATTAAGAGACTTAGAGCTAAGTAACAAGTTTTACGGATTATACTTAGAACAGATTTCCAGAACACCAGCAATATGATCTGAAGCCTCATATTGGAAGTATTCAGCACCAAACTGCACATACTCAACAACAACTGTAAGTTAAAGGTTCTTTTTTTTGGGGGTGTAATAGGTCTGGAAATTCACAAAGTCAGGTTTCTAGAAATATTAGTCCATTAAAATAGCTAGGAAATGGCACTTCTGCATTTATCATTTTAACAAGCTTTATTTTAAGATTTAGATAAACATTAGAAAAATGCGCATAATATTGATTCAATAAAATAGTATTTTAAAAAAATATGCTATTTCTCTCATACGCTTTTTGCTTTGAGGAAAGGAAAACTAAAACTTTCTAACTTCACTTTCACATTGTCAAGCATTAGCAAAATGTTGCAATGTTTAAGCTGCAGCTATTGAAAAAAGTGTTTATTAAAACTTTGTATAATGTTTGGTTGTTTTTAAAAAGCTTCAAGAACATGTTATGATTTGTACTAGAGAAGCTTCGCAACTTAATTATTTACAAAAATTCACTGCCTAATTCTTTTCAAAACACTATCTTCTTAAAAATTTTCCATAAAAATTTCCTAGGGATCTCCAACCTTTGCTTTATAAAGTTTGCATGTATGTACGCATACAATGGAATATAGATCTTAAATAGATCTATTCATAAATATTTATTATACACTAATAGAAAATTGCTGGAGGAAAATGTGAAGTAAAATTTTCAGTGCAACAGTCTGGTTATGAGATTGTTGGTTAAACCACAAAATCTTTCTGTGAAGTTTTTTACTTTTCCATCAAAAAATCCACAACACTGTCTCTATATGAATTTGCACAGTCGAACTGCAACTGGAAACCTTTATAGTAATTTTTAAAAGTATTCATGATATGAAAGTAAGTACGTGCTACTATTTTACTGATATTTGAGTCAATTCGTATTATCACCGAGCTGAAACTGATAGATGAAAGCCATCTCAAAACAATGAGTTTTCTCCAGCTCCTACTTCCCATTTTCTACTGTTAAAACACCTCAAAGATCCTACTTTGCAAGCAGACACCAAGCAGGATCATTCAAAGATATCATCTTTGATTGCAAGGCCCAGTTTGAAAAAGGGGAGAAATAAAAAATGAACTTCATTTTGCTTTTCGTTTCTCTTCAGTATGTAATTGTTGAGATCTTAAGAGAAATGATTCACAACTAGCACTACTGTATAATGCTCTTGCAGTGCAATTACACAGGAGAAGGAATCAGTACCAACACATCTGATAGGTCTCCAAGCACCATTTCTGCAGACAGCCTAAAGAAAGAGCCATTGACTGTAGTTTGTGAATACACATTTAGCAGCCTTAGTCAGATTTTTGTGGCAGGAAATTTAACAGGTCTGGATAGATGTTTTTGCCTAAAAAGTGGACTATCTTATATGTTTCTATAGGACATAGACCTAGAATGAAGTTGATTTATACAATCTACATAATACTCAGAGTTATTAGCTATACAAATAATATATATGCATATAGTTAGGAAAATGAACAAAAGTAGCAAGCGGCAAGATGCAGGTAAAGAAGTCAAATAGCAGTTTTAACCCAAAAAAAGATCAGTGGTCCATGGAGATAGATATCCCATCATTATGATTTTTAAAAGGTTGAACAGCTTCATAATTACACCTGCTCAGAACTTTTACAGAAAAGAGGATCAAAATCTCTGCTCAAACTCTTTGAAATGCCACCAATAGCTACCAGTGAAACACCCATCTAATTTATTTCCTAGAACCAATTACCTGAGACACCTTTTAATGCTTTAGAACTTCGCAGTCTCAAAACAATTCAGTGTTCATTTTAATTGTATGACTTGTTACTTACAGATAAGACAAACTTTTTATTTTCCTGATCAGTTGTATATTTACTTAGAAAAAACTTACAAGGCAAAAACAAACCAAAAGATTCTGTGCTGATCCACTCCTCTCATTTTTTTTCTTTTCTTTTTTTTTTTTTGAGCTCCAATAGTAAGTTAAAAAATTTAGCTTTACCTGAACCTAGAAGAAAACACTGTATAAATCTTTACCCTGCGGAAACATCCACTGGGGATGATCCACTATAAAACAACAAAAAAATCCTACTCCATTTACTAACTCCTCCAAAAAGAATAGGCATCTTTTCAGGTTGCTTCACTGGCTTTGCAACTAAACCAATTTGAGGTGGCCTATCAACCTGCTTTATGACGTCAACTTGGCACAGACTCTGCCACCATAAGTTACCAGAAAGCAGAATTCTGTGGTTGTATATATTGTCTTTGAACACCCATCCCATAACACTTCAAGGAAAGTGGGATTCAGAAAAGTTTTTAAATCAATAGTGCATTGAGAATGCATTTCTTTTTTGTACATACAAAGGCATTAAGTGATTTCTAAGAAAACGAAAGAACTTAGCAAACAAATATGTCAAATTAAACTGACCTTTTGAAGTCTTCTATTTTTTCTTAACCCCCCACTGTTCTTATTCCTTTGTTCATTAAAAACTTTGCAAGAGCCATCAGTAACATGACACTCTGAAACTTCATTTTCATCACCTAGAAACCAAATTTAGAAACTTGAAATTAAAACTCAGTCTTGTGAAATGAAACTGCCACTAATTATTTTACCATAACACGTAAGAGCTATGTACAGTTAAGATACCCAAGTTAATAATTTGTAACTTTTTTCCCCCATTGCTTTTCAGTAATAGAAAAAGGAATGACACTCAAGCACCTGCTTTTATCTTGCAGTATTACAACCAGTTTATTTACAAGATGATAAAGTCCCAATTTCCAATATTTTGAAAACTGTATATTTTAACTCCAAGTAGAGAATCAGCTGAATTCCCTTTTATTCCTACAACATTTGCAGTTTCTCTGAATACAGAGATATTTGAGAGTTTAAAGCAGTAGTAGCTAGATTTGTCCTCTCTCATTGAAGTGTCAATGCTTTCAGTACACACTGTGTTTATCTGAAAGGGCCTGAACATCTGAAACATGTTTTCAAGCTTTGCGAGCAAACCTAGCAAGCTGTTAGCAGGCAAGGATGGCCTGTGCATGCAGGCACATCAGTCCTCTTATTTACAAAGAGGCACCAGCCATAAGAATGGACTCTAATGTGGCTACCAAACCCCAGTATTTTTCATTACATATTTTATGAATTAACATATATTTCATTCTTCAACAATATCAAGATGACTTTTTAAGCCCTAAATAATAAAGCTTTAAATCATTTTAGAAACAGCTTGCTTACATAAGATGAAAAACTTATCTATCTTTTGGTCAACAAAGCTTTAATAACTGAAGTTTTAGGTACATCATTTTCCCTCAGTTTAATTCAATAGAGTCTACTTTAGGACATTTGTTAACTTTTAATTTCAAAAAAATGTACGAGATCAGTTAAAGAAAGTTAATAATTAAAGTGGCATAAATTCAGCGCCTCCCAAATAAGATTCTTCTGATTACTTTTGGAAAATACTGAAGGGTGTCATCCATATTTACTAGTCGGACTGCATATATAACTAAGAATCATTTGTTTTCCCTCTGTCAGCTACTTAAACTCTTAATCTTTGAGGTGACAAAACAATAAATTACAACAGAAAAAAAAGATGACAAACATTTTCCATTATGGATTACAACTTAAAAATTATAACCGTTAAATTAGTCAAAAATTAATCACTTCACACTGAAGTTGCAAGTTTCATGTGAATTTACACTATTACAGTGATCTTGGTGTAATACAAGTATACCTGGCTTTCAGGTATAATTGTTTATTTAAACTCAATATTTCAATACAAAGTGTCATTTAACAGAGGGAGAACTAATTACTTAACTGTTAATTTTATTTAGTATTGCACTGAGGCTCATCATCTTCAATCACTGAGCAAGACTGACAGCAATTAGAAAAGATCTTATCACACAATAAAAAAAGCTCAGAAATTTAAATTTAACTCATTTTACATAGAAAATAGAATTTTTAGACATGTATTTTGAATCTTAAAAAACGCTCAACGGGCCCAGGAGTGCAGAGGTTGTTAGGAGATCATCTACTCCATTGCTTTACCTTTACCCCAAGGAGATGGGGTAAAGCAGGGTATGTTGCTCCTAATTTCCAGTAAATTATTTCAATCACTCCAAAATTCCATCCACTGGTTTGAGTCTTTTTTTGAGGAGGGGGGCTTGGGCAGGAGGGAAGGAAGGGCAGTGAGAAGTAATGTAATATTGAGGCCAAGAGTGGCCAAAGGAATGCAAAGTTCTACAGCTCTTTTCCATCTTGGGATTAAAGTCTGAAGACCTGTATGTTTGGATCTCTTTCCAGCTATGGTTCACTCTTGTTGGTTCTTCATTTTTACAGGAAAGCAGGAACAAGGGGTAAGGTCCATCACCTCCTCTGATTATCAGCTCGAGGATATTATACATTACATAAATAAGGACTATTCTTTACAATCCAGTTTCTGCTTCTCTCCTGACCATCAGGACTTCCCAAGCACTTCCCAGTTTTTTTTAATCCTGTAGGTCTCAAGCTTCACTTTCTATTGTCTGTTTTCCCCATTTGCTTCTTTTTAAGGCAGTTGCTCAGTCACAAGTAAGGAGTTTTCACTTTAGTAGCTTTTCCTAAGGAATTTCAGTTAAGGCTGACAGAACTTTTTGGAGCAATTCCATCCACTTTTAGTTATCCCTAAATTTACTTAAAATACACAGCTAACTCATGCCACTGTGGCCCATTAGATCCCCTAAAGTTTTGTCTAAAACATTGCTCAATGACTGGGGTAAAGAATTAATGACTCTGATAGCCCTCTAAAATATTATAACAAAATAGAGTGACTTTAATTTGCAATTTAAGCTTCTACTCATTCACGATAATCTATCACCAGTGCAAGGTTTTAAACCAGAATATTATCTTCAAAATTCCATCTGACATTTCCTTTGACTAAAAGCAAAGTAATGATTAGGTAAAATAAGCTGGTTTTTGGTCAGTCAAATCAATCATGTGTATCTAATAAAAATGTTGTTATCTATTGTGTTGTGTTCTATTTTAAAAATACCATAATGAAGTGTCACTTAAACTATAGTGTATCTACTATTTTGTATTATCTACAGAGTTATTTACCTCAACCATAAAGAACGTAGGTCTGAATCTGTCATTATTAGTAATCCTTTAGGTACATATGCACAGCATATTTAATAACTTGTGCTGTTATTATTATTGTAGTTATTACTCCAGCATGGGCAAACACCAAGATTTTGCTATTCAGAACACAATTTCTTCAAGCCATCTGAAAGCTTATGTGTCCACCAGGTTCTCAAAGAGAACCTGCTAATGGTTTAAAACAATTTTTTTCTAGCCTGTTATGCACTCTAGTACCAGTCACCAGATTTTTAAAATTTAAGTATGTCAAAATAATCCTCAACCTGTTCCTATATTCAGAAATTTGTCCTTTTTTGTTTTAATAATTAGCTACAAGTAAGCTTTTAATGAAGATAAACAAGGAATCAAGCAAGAAATAATTTTATTCTTCATTCCTTATTAGCTTTTTAAAAGAGCATAATAAAATGTCCTTTTCAAATAAAAGGAATAAAATATAAAAGAAAAATAAATACGAAATAAAAATATATGTAAACCAAAGAAATACATAAAAAAACCCAAAAATAAAACAAAACTAAATTAAATAGAATGACATCTCACAAAATTTTAAGTGAGTCTCCAGTCTTTTAAAACTGAGGTAAAAACAAGAAGGCACATAAAATCTAAAGTGTGTTTTTAAAGACAAACAGTATTTTACCAGTATTAAGCACCTAGCACCTCAGGTAAAACTAATACACCTAAATTAAACTCCATTTTTACACCAAACATCAAAATGATATTCCAGATTCCCCATCTTAACACTGAACTACATTGGTTACGCTATAATGGGTCTTAGTGTATGTCTTTTAGCCAACTAACATAATACTTGCTTCCCATATCCACTATATATATCTAAAATTCACTCAATTAAACCTTAGTTTATTTTTAAGACTGGAAATAATGCTAAGTCCCACTTCAAATATCTAAATGATTTTAGAAGGATAAAGGTTTTAGGAGGATAAAACTAAAAGGGTGGACTCTTGCATTGCTTGCCCAATATTATTCATTGTTGTAGCTTTCAGATGAAAAGTCATAAGAATTCACCAAGTCAGAGCAAGTATTGGCATTCTAGGCCATATGGTTCAAGTGCTGACTTGTCCTACCATCAACCCTACTAAAAAAGTTACAAGCAGAGGGGACTGCATTCCCAAGTAAAGCAATTTACAACTCGAATGACAAAGAAGTTCACAGACTTTCCTAATAACATAGATCATTAACTTTGACAAAAGACAGTATTATTGCATTTCCATAAACTTATATTCATGACAGAAAAAAGCCACCATTTTCCCCACTTTGTAGCTGCTAAAAAATTAGGTACTGACACACAAAAGCCACTTAGACAAAAGCTATTGCTTACAGACACTGAAATTTATCTGGTATGTCTGGTTAAATCACAAGGACAGAAAATGTATTTCTTTACCAGAAACAGAGCTGAGAAAGTGAATCTGAATAGGAAAGCACCTCTTAATATTCTTTTAACACCTAGTTAATTTCTACACTTGCATCTGTATGAGTTCTTTACTTGATTTATGACTTGGAGTAAGACATGAAGTAGCCATGATTATGCTTTTGCTGTTTAGCAAAACAACTGGACAGCCTTGAATGTACCCTGCAAACAAACCTGAAGCTTACTACAGCATAATAATTAGGACTTGAAAAATTAGCTTAAGATTAGCCTACATATTAAAATCAAATGGTCCAAGTATTCTGTGGAAAGAAAGCTTATCAAACCTCACTTCTTGTCATTTAAGACTCTGGAGTGCCACTGATCTAAGAACACAAGTTAAAAATTAAGTAAGTAAAATGTTTGATTTTTAAAATATATACAAGATATAATGAAATTTTATATGGATATTTGATTCTTCTTAACTATATCAGTGAAAAGAATTCTTTAGCTTTTAAAAATAATATACTATATTTACGTGTTGTTCAAAGCACGTACAACATACAGAAATACAATTTATTATTTATTTACTAGTTAACAGGGACAAGAAATAACTTACATTCAATGAAAAAAAAGGAAACATCAAACCTGCATTTAATAAAAATCAATTATTCCTTCAAGCAAGATCACAGTAGTAAGCTTAAAACAGGATTTTCATTTTCACCTATAGAACTTGCATTATTAAGAAAAATAAGGGTCACCTTTCATTATTGGTTCCTTTCATATTTAAGTGAGATAATGTGAGCTGTTAAGCTTGAGTTTCTACTTGACTACAAAACAGATGCATGAAGCTGAATACATCAAACTTGGGAAAATGGCCATCAATAATAAATCACAAATATTATTAAAATCACTAGAAGCACAAACTGAGACTTGCAGAAGTTCCTAACAAAAAGTATAAAAGTTATAAATATCAGATAACTTCTGTTTGCTGAATGCCATTCCATTTTCCTCCTTTCCAAAATATGTGATCTTTAACTTGTCCAATAAGAAAATGAAAGCATAACATTGATCATAATTTAATAACTAGATTTTAAAATATGGAATTAACTCTAAAATTAACTGGCATACATAAGTTCAAAAGTAGCAAACCTTTTCTCCTTCCCCATTTGCTTTCATTATAGTTTAATGTTAAATGCTGTTCTTTGACACTAACCAATACACAATTTAAAGATCATGTGGAAGAAAAGAAGGTTATCAGGAGTGGTCAACATGGATTCACCAAAGGGAAATGAGGCTCAACCAATCTGATAGCCTTCTATAATGGTATGACTGGCTGGGCAGATGAAGGGAGAGGATGTTGTCTACCTTGACTTCAGCAAAGCTGTAGACACTGTCTCCCATAACATCTGCACAGGCAAGTTCAAGGAGTGTAGGTTAGATGAGTGGGCAGTGAGGCGGATTGAGAACTAGCTAAACAACAGAGCTCAGAGGGTTGTGATCAGTGGCACAGAGTCTAGCTGGAGGCCAGTAGCTAACAGTGTTCCCCAGGGGTCAGTACTGGGTCAGGTCTTGTTCAACATCTTCATCAATGCCCTGGATGAAGGGACAGAGTGTACCCTCAGCAAGTTTGCTGATGATACAAAACTGGGAGGAGGGGCTGACACACCAGAAGGCTGTGCTGCCATTCCGCAAGACCTGGGCAGGCTGGAGAGCTGAGCAGATGGGTATCTAATACAGTTCACCAAGGGCAAGTATAGGGTCCTGCACCTGGGGAGGAATAACCCCATGCACCAGTACAGGCTAGGGGTTGACCTGCTGCAAAGCAGCTCCACAGAGAAGGACCTGGGAGTCCTGGTGGAAAACAAGTTAATCATGAGCCAGCAGTGTGCTCCTGTGGCCAAGACGGCCAATGGTATCCTGGGGTGCAATAAGAGGAGTGTGGCCAGCAGGTAGAGGGAGGTTCTTCTCCCCATCTACTCTGACCTGGTGAGGCCACTTCTGGAGTACCATGTCCAGTTCTGGGCTCCCCAGTTCAAGAGTGATAAGGAACTACTGGAGAGAGTCCAATAGAGAGCTACAAAGATGATTAAGGGACTGGAGCATCTCTTATGAGGAGAGGGTGAAAGACACAGGGCTGTTCAGCCTGGAGAAGAGAAGGCTGAGTGGAGATTTATCTTATCAATACTTATTAATATCTGAAGGACAAGTGTCGAGAGGATGGGGCCAGACTATTTTCAGTGGTGCTCAGTGACAGGACAAGGGGCAGTGGGCACAAACTGGAACACAGAAGGTTCCTTCTGAACACGAGGGAAAAAAATCCTTTCCTGTGAGGTTGACAGAGCAACGGAACAGGCTGCCCAGGCAGGTTGTGAATTCTCCTCTGGAGATACTCAAAACCCGCCTGGATGCATTCCTGAGGAACCTGCTGTAAGTGAACCTGCTTTAGCAGTGGTGTTTGACTAGATGATCTTCAGAGGTCCCCTCTAACCCCTACCATCCTGTGTGACTCTGTGACCATCTTCCAGTACATTGCCACATAGCAAAAACCACATGCAGAGGCTTCATACATCTACAGGTATATATTTACACTTGCATTACTCCTGCATCAACTTTTTTTTTTTAAATCACATTATTATGATGCACCCCAGATATTAAAATACAGATGTAGTGAACCCAAAGTAGCAGCTCAATTTGACAACTCATTACCCACAAATATAGGCACAGCCATGGATCAACATTTCCACTGGACGATTTCAAGTCTCATACCAAATATGTTGAGTCCTTGAAGTTAATTTAATAATATTGATTATATATATAGTTCATTGATACATTGCTGCAGAATTTTCTGTGAAAAAAATACTAAAATATAAAATTATAATTACAAATACATAACCCTATGTAAAGCTTGACAAACAGAGGTGAAAATACCAGTCTGAAAGAGATTACTCCAATGCAAGTTAGACATATTTTTCAGGGAAGTTCCTGATATTCATTATTCTAATACATGTTTTCACTGAAATATCTAAATAGGCTAAACAACAACTTGGAAACACTCAAATATAAAAAAATACTTTAAAAATGATTATTAAAAACTAAGATCAGTTCCATATAAAAAAGCCCTGACTGAAAAAGATGCTTACATTGGAACTCTTGCATATGGCCTCACTCATATTTCATCTTTATCATAGAATCATAGAATCCTTTAGGTTGGAAGGGACCTCCAAGATCATCAAGTCCAACCATTGAGCCATTAGATCTCTAAAGTCCTCTGCTAAAACAGATTAGAATCTGTCAGGGTTGGAAGGGACCACAAGGGTCACCCAGTTCCAACCCCTCTGCCATGAGCAGGGACACCTCACACTAGATCAGGCTGCCCAGAGCCTCATCCAGCCTGGCCTTAAAGACCCCCAGGGATGGGGCCTCAACCACCTCCCTGGGTAACCCATTCCAAGGATCATAGCACAAGTTAGAAATTGCTTACTCAAATATTTTGTTTCCAGTAAAGATTTTATGCCCTTAAGTGAAACTAATCTAAGGAGCACTCTTGTGAAATAAAAATAATTTGAACAGGGACCCTGAGATAAGGAGTTACTTTTAAAAAGTTTAGAAAGGCACCATAACATATAAAACCAGAAGGACTTTGGGTTCTTAAAGATCTTGAACAGCAGCAGAAAGTTTACAGAATACTAGGTATTAGTGGTAAAAGAGGGCTCAGATATTTTTTGTTGTGTTTTGTGAGCACAGTTTCTTTATCTCTTGGCAACATCATGTCTGTAATGTATGGGAAAACAAATGGGTGTTGGTTTGGATTGTATGCACTCTAAGTCAGTACCGCAACATTTTCTTCTTTTGGTAATTCTGAGATATTTTTCCCTTGAGAATGGCAGTTCATTTTGCTATTTAGCTGCATAAGTGTATTTAATGCAGTATGATAACTTCGTTTTCCTGCTCTATCACTTACCAGCAGTGTGAGTACAGTAATTCACATTGGTTCTGCAGGAATTTTCAGGAGCCTGCTGAGGCAGCCTGTTCACATGATCAGAATCTAGAGCTTCTGCAGTGTCAGCTTTTTCACTATTTGACATAGAATTTAATTGCACACTTCCTGGATGTTCAGCTGGTTTGAAGTTTTTCTCTAGTGAAACATTTGCTGGAATAGACTTTTTCCTACTCTGCTTTGAAGCAGTATGTGGCTTAGAGAAACTCACATCAAGTGAGTCCATGCTTGTAGAAGAATCTTTGCGACGAGCTTCATGAGGATTCTGTGATTCCTTTGGTACTTGCATCTGTACTTCATGTTCATTCAACTCACATGAAAAAAAGTAGTCTTCATAAGAAGCCTCTTCAGTGCAAAATGACTTGCTATCTGTAGCAGCTGCTTGCGAGAACTCTTTAGACCCCAATGCACGCAGTTCTGAGGTAGATAGCTGCAAACTAGATAGTGTTTGTACTTTCTTCCTCTTCTTGTCTTCAAGAACACAATAGTTTCTGTCAACTGGAAAGCTTCTATCCAATGAACATGTATTTAAGTCTTCACTGTTCACAGCTGAATTAGAGAGACTACCAATCAAAGCAGGAACAGTATTTAACTTGACTGTATTTTCAGGAGTAATATGACCCAAGCCCTTGATGTGGAGAAGGGATCTTTCATTTGTAATTGGAGTTGTCATGCTATTTTCATCCTTCCGACTTTCCTTTGGCAACTTTTTTAGATCTTTCTTTTCTAAAGACAATTTATCATCCAAAGGACGCTGCAAAATCTGTTTGTTTCTTAAGCTTTTTCTCGTATATTGTTTTGGTGTTAAGCTCTTCTGCCCATAGCTAGGTGAGGGAGAAGTCACTGATTCACCCATGGATACAGCAGTATTGGTCCAAGTATCACAAGAGTGTTTTACTACCTCCTTTTTCTGCCTTTTTATTTTACCAGTTTCCCAAAGATAGTCATAACTTGAGTTCAAAGAGTCTTCCATTTGTTGTCCTGCAAAATAGGAAGAATGGCGATGTAAGCATATTTAACAAAACAAAGAGTACCCAATTTCTTAGCCAAATATATAGGAAATTACTGAGAGAAGAAAACAAGGATTCTGCTACTTCTCTGGATATTATATAGCAAGTCATCAAAAACTAAATGGAAAATGGGTTAGAAACAAAGAACATTTTGCCAGGAATCTACAACAGCTTTAGTTATCATAGCTTCTTATGTGGTAATATGTATCCATAACTCCTCTTCTGCTTTCTTGAAACAAAGCAGCAGAGGAGCTCCCTTTCATTCTTGCCTTTGTGGAGAAAGCCAGAAAGACCTTACACTGATAAATCTAGCTGTAGTAATACTGGGAACGTGGAAATAATTTTTACTACCACAGCATTACCACCACCCTTGTAGTTTTTGCAGTTAAGAAGAAATGAAATAAAATATCATAGTATCACACCACATACATCAACACAATGCATTAAAAATAATCAGAATGTGGAAAAAAATTCTGGTAGCTACTCTTATGAAATTATTTTGGAGGAGGTGATATACTGAATCTATTAATAACTTCACAACAAATTCCTCTGAAACAGTCTAGTATCTTTGATTATTCAGAATATTTTTTTTTAATTGCTATTCTACTGATTATTGCAATAGAAGCTTTTAACTACACATTGAGTACAGTTATACCAATATGCCTCCTATAAGTTTTAGATTAAGTCTTCATGTTATTTGCAACATTTTTAAACATATGGTGTAGCCAGCTAAATTCAGGAAAAAAGTTTCTGAAGGAAGTATCCAGAAGTTCAAGATATGAAAGGAGAAATTTCACATGACTTGATTAGGCTCCCATACTGACAGCTGAAAAAGTCTTAACTTCAATCCCCCAATTAACCTGTTTTTTTTAACTTTTAGAACTATTAATGAACATACTCTTATGTGTGTCTTGCAAGCACAAACAAAAGAGCCACGGTCACAGAGCAGAGATGGAAGCTACACTGAATATTGTCATAGGACATGGAGGTCTGTTCTTAATGTTAAACTACACTGTGCAGTTGTGATGCTGGAGGGACATACTCAAGGTAAAGCTCACAAATCACAATGTTCAACCTCACCAGCACACAACTAATTTGCCAAAATAAAAGTTTGTTTGCGCAGATATGCTACTTCAAATATTAATAAGCTATTTATTATTAGTAAGCTATTACTTATTATTAATAAGCTATTAGTAATAGAATAAGCTATTACTTCTCCCTAGAACTGCATAAAGTCATACCAAGCTGTCTCAGGCTACAAGATACTGCCCATTCTCATGTAAAGCAGTATGACAGAACTCCTGTATTATGTCAACAAAACACAACTCTAGAAAACAGCAATGGGTATAGCTTACTGCGGGAGTAGAATGGAGAGCAGGCAGACCAGTCAAGTGGCCCTCACTATGAATACTAAAACTGCCTTCTCCTTACTTTCCTACTGGGATCAAATACCAGCATCTGACATCAGCTTTTTACTCCTGTGACTGACAGAAGACATGAGGTCTGAAGCACATGCCCTTTTCATACATGATTGATGCTGTTAAGATGCCCACTGACATAGCTCAGCAGCCTTCACAATAACCTTCTCCCTCACATCCTGTTACTATGCTAAAACACAGGAACAAACCCCTAACTTTACAAGAACCTTGATAACAAATGACTTGAATTCGTCTGCAACCGCAAAACATTTCAAGAGCTGATTTTACTCTTGTTATTTCTTTGATCCCTGAATACTTAAGCCAGAGAACACATTAGGTTTCCTGTTAAATTCGAGTTTTATGATTGAAAATTTGGACGACATTTCAGTTCTGAGGCTTAACTCTCAGTTCTCTTTTTTGCTTCCCACACCACACTGTTGAGCATGGAGTCTGTATTCCATACAAGATCACAGGAAGATCAGAGAAGACAAGGACAAGAAGGCATTAATGGGGAATGGAAGTAAGGCATGCAACACAGCAGTAAGGCAGAGAATTTACCAAATGTGGTTCTTCATGCTCAGTTTTCCTTGAAATCTTACTTCCCCATACTTTGTCAGTTAAAAACTAAAATAATTTGGCTTTAAATATAAATGCCAGAGCAAATACATACAGTTCCCATTTCAGTGTGCAGTACTTTCCAAAATCAGATATACAGGTCATGTATTATTTTTAATTTCTGTAATATATAAAGTTATGTTAGTTACCTGGTGACAATGTATCTTCTGAACTTGTTAAGACACGAGTAGACAGTGGGCAGTCTCCTGGTGAACTGCTTGGAGGTATTTGAGACATTTGCGAAGCTAGGAATTTGTAAATAATAAACTGGTCAGCCCTATTTGCATACATACAGATTCCCACACCATATATTCACATTTCCAAACAGCTCAATTGTGAGACAGGTCACTGCTTTGCCAACTAACTATAACACGTCATAAATAATTACGGACTGCTCAATAGCATTCTAGATTTAAACACTAATAAAAAAGCTATTAGATACTCTACAATTTTAAGCAATTTTTTTCTAGGTAACACAGCACCATGTTTTTCTGAAACTAAAGGATGATAGAAAATAATTTAGAAAATATTATAGACATTTCTAAGCCAGTTGAGGCACTTTACTAAAGAACCTGTCAAATTCTGCAATTAGCAGCAAAGCCTTGATATAGCAGAAATGCTTTTCAAAATCTTTGATTATCTTGAAACTCAAAGAGAAAACAAATACATGAATGAGATTTTTCATGTATATATTGATGGTTCTTTGCTTTTCTCCCACAAATGTTTTTGAAATTATAAACTGCCAGTGTAGTTGGCACAGACTTCTTGAAACTCCAGATTCTACAGGTTCCCCTTACTCACCACAAAAGATATTCCACATTTTAAGTTTTTATAACTACTGATAAAACCTAGTGATTTAAACCTCAATACTTTCAGAGTAAGGTAATGCAAACACTAAAAATTATTTAAACTGCCATATATATTTAATTTAGAGGATCTGCATTTTGAAGTCAAGTAGATTTATTAGGTTAGGTAGATTTTTTTTTTTTTTTTAAATCCTGCTGTTAAGTACCTGGACCGTTCAACTTTCGACTCCTTTCTGAACTATTGGCCTGGGAGTAATATTACGAACTCTGTCAGGTATAGCATTCTCAACAAAATTTATTAGGAAATAAAAATTAGAATCTCACTGTAAAGTTTCACAAAGTTGTGATAATAAATTTCTAGAGCAGTCCAGCAATTAGGAAATTCACATTTCATTGTGAAATCACATTCAGTCATTGCCTTCCATGCATGTTTTCCATTCCCTTCAACAGAAAGAAACCAAAAGCTAAATCATTCACACCTACTCAAAACCTAGGGAAGGGGGAATATATGCAATCAAGTATGATATGAAAAAAATCTGAAGGCCAGAGCAAGACAAGTGCACTAAAAATTCAGCAATAAAGATGGGAGCCATTTGTGCATGGTCATGGATAAGTGAAATTTAAACTCTTACCAGTAGGAGAAAGATTTTCTCTTTTTTCTTTCATGTCCTTTATTCTTCTTTCCATTAAACTGCATTGACCTTTTATCATATTGACAGGGCTGTACACAAGCGAACCATTGTCTTCAAATAGTAAAACTGAAACATCAGTTTCTACACAAAGGAATTGCATTTGTACATTAATATTTACATGCTATAACAGCTGCAGATTTTTTTTTTTTTTTAAAAAACAAACAAAATAAAAACCAGCCACTTTGAAAACTTAGGTTCCTTATACCTAATATCACAACAGATGCCCTGATATTACAAACTTGCAAAGAACTCTAGAAAATTAGTTAACTATTACTTATGGTGAGATGCAGAAAAGTAAAAAAAAAAAAACAACAGACAACAAACAAAAAATCAAAGCTCATCAAGTGCTTTAAAGAAATAACTTAAGATATTTAAATCTTAGTCCAAAGTAATTCTTACCAGCATTAATTGCTGTCTTTTGTACAGCTAATTCTTTAGCCATCTTGTCCAGTCTTCTCTGTAGCTTTCTATCATTTCCTGGATTTTTTTCAACAAAGTCTTTTGGCTGCATACATTTGTGCTACAAGACACAAAGAACTATTAACTATATGGTATAAAACTGCCAGAAGTAACTATGCTTCCTCTTCACCCACTTCTTTATCACAGTATGTATTATCAGTGTTTATGCTACTCATTATCACCTCCTTGAAAGTCACAGAAAGTCACAGAAGTAGAAGTTAATGTTTCCCGAATTGAACCTTAACATGAAATACTAATATAAAATAAGAAAGAACCTAACAGATTTTTTTTAGGTTAGATTTTAGTAAAAAAGGAGACTAAGTCGCCATCTTTTTTTGCTTGTAGCAAAGCTAAGGATTGAAAGTTTGGGTTTGGCATCTTTACAGTGGAAGGTAAGCCACACTGCAGTCATGGTTTTTAGATTAGTTAATCATTATATCATTTTAAATTAAATTTTCATTTCTTTATTTACCAACACAAAAATTCTACTTTTATTATCCTTTTTTCAGATAAGATGTCACATCATCACAGCTATAGTCTACTTTTAAAAACCTGCTGAAATGGGTAGGTAGTTTACAGAATGTTCTGAAAAACATGTCAAATGCCAGATGTTGGGAAGTCAAGTTCAAACTTTAAAGTTTACTACTCTAGGCCTATTTAAAAAAAAAAAAAATAGATAAATCACACACTTTTTTGGTCAGAAACGATAATCCTTCATTTGTGTCTACTGCAGGAAATAAGGATTCATCAACATGCAGTCCGGTTTCTCGACACCTGTAAAATAAATTAGGGAAGGTTTGGTTTGTTTTTCCCCTTTATTTTTGCCCTTTTTTTTTTTTCTAAGAAGAATCTTCATTGCAAGAAGAGTTGTCTGAGCCCTTAATACTGTAACATGAACTCTTCCTAGGTGTGTACCTTTAGCTTAACTACTGTAATGCAAAAAAATAAAATCTATATGTTACACACCAAATAGAGGACATGATACTTTTTTTTTTGTCCTAATGATGTCCTCTGAACTGCTGGTTTGAAACTCAAAGAGTCCCACTCACTTGTTATTTTCCACACATTAAAAACATCACTGTATTAAGTCCTCCTGGCCAGATTCTCACGAACCTTAAATCTTGTCCAGACTTTTATGAGAACTGTAGGCTTTCATTGTTCACTAGCTAGTAAACTTAACGTTAACTTGGTCACTGTGATGACAGTAAACTCCCAGCTACAACCTGCAGGATGTCATGGTGTGGAGGGGAGGGCAGGAAATTTCTCTTCAGGGAAATAGGAAGGAGGCTTCATCTAATCCTGGCTTTTATATCTTGCCCGTTAGTCAGTTTTTTTCCTTCTCCTTGTATATGCAATGCTAAAGCCAGGCCCTTATTGAGGAGAAATCTACTTTTATATAAATTATATTTTTGAATTACAAAACCAAAAATGCAACTGATACCTTACCACTAAATTTTCCTGTCTTTCCATATTCAATGATTAACTGGAGAACAATAGGACTCGTGTTATCTTGGAAAATTATACAATCTACTGTATTTGTGAACACTAAGGAGTCTGATTATTAGTACAAAATTTAAAGTTCTTTTGATCAAAATAGGTGAATACAATTTTATTCTCACAGAATAAATATTGAAACAGATTATGGGAAA